TGCAATTGGACTGGATGGGGGTAACAAAATATCAAAGACATTCACACTGCAGTTTAGGAAAAAGTAGCACTTAGGAAAGTGTTAGAGTAGGTATTAAAAAATCCAAGTGAATCAAGCCACTAAGTAGTGCTTCTTCAGAATACAGACGAAGCACAGTTGCAGCTAAGATAGGAAAAACCTCATTTTAACTATACACAGACTTGTAGGGGTCCCATCACATTTTCTGAGAAAAGGTATTTGTTATGTTTCAAAGCCCTACTGTGAGCAGTTGAGTTCTGAGGGGAGGAAGACTTGGGGAATGGCCCCTGTGATGGGGAATGGCAACTTCAGATCATGCCTTTGCCTTGACAGAACTGCTCCCCAATGGCAGGGCCAAGTCATAGGGATCATGACAGCCGTAGAATTTCCCATCATAAATAATCTCCAGGTAAATCCTCTGAAAAAAACAAATATACAATTCAGAATCTGTACAAGCTTTCATGATGGATCTCCCAAAGTGCTCTGTCATTCACAGTTCGTTCTTTTGGTGAATACTGACTATGCCTCTGCTACAGGCCAGGCACCGGAAATGAGGGAATGGGGCCCAGTTCCTGCCTTCATGGGGCTAGCATCCCAATGGGTGAGTGGCTTCCTCACCCCATCAAAGAGCTGGCTCCCCTGTGATTCCACTCCCTGTCAGCCTCCTCGGTTGCCTTTTTCATGGACACCCCAAAACACAGACACAGATGGAAGAAAGGGAATTAGGATCTTACTCTAAGAATCAAGCACAGGATGGTGCAGTGTAGTCACAGGAACAGGTAATCTTGGATGCAAATAACTTTCAACTTTTGGTTCATTTAAGGATGAGAGTAAAAGATTTCCAGGAGGTGCACATCACTCTGAAGCATATTCCTTTAGCATATCCTCTTTCTCCCTCTGCTTTCTTCACTTTGCCTCACTCTCCCCCTCTAGCTAGCGGTCGTTCTCTCTCTCTCTCTCTCTCTCTCTCTCTCTCTCTCTCTCTCTCTCTCTCTCACACACACACACACACACACACACACAAATACTCCACCCTTTCAAATACCCAAAGTCATACACACAAATACACAATCTATGCAAAGCTACCCAAATATACTAATCCACACATGATGGAGAACCCAGGCATGCCCACACAAAGGAACATATTTTCAAGGACACATCAACACTCCCAAACATATCTGTTTTCACACCTTACATTCTCTTATATAGGAGAATGGCCACAAAGACAAGCAAAAGCACACATGACAGTCACTTTCTAACATAGGTTGTGATATTCAGGCCAGCTGCCCCCATAGCTGTTCTCCCCACTGTTTCTCTAAGGTTCTGAAGATTAAACAGTTGGTAGCCAACTTTGTATACATGCCTGTAAACAAGAGGGCTCCGCTTTAAATAATTATGTCAAAGAAATGACAACTGTGCTCTTTGCCAGAACAGGGATGAATAATTACAAAGCCAGGACATAATTAAGCAATTCTGACTGTCGGATTTTTGAGCTGTCTCTCTGATGTGCAGGGCTGGTGTGCCTGCCGCCCATGCCCTCCTGGACGGGCCTCTGCACGCCTTTGATCTAGGTTTCCCAGTGCAGCCAGGGTGGGGTCATGGTCTGGTCATTACAGAAGTCTTTCAGGGGGGGCCTCACACTTCTCTGTATCCAGCTGGATGCTCTCTGTGTTGACAATGGTACAATTCAATGGTCAATATTTAACAAGATATAATTTCTTTAAAATTCTGGAAAATGAACAACTCTTAGATGTTGCAGGTCCATTAACTAATCACACACACGTGCCTGCGTGAGACTCCAGGAGAGCCTGTTGTCACATTACCCATCACTTCCTAATGAATGACAACACCTTTCTGTAGAACAACAACAAAAATACAACAAAAGCCAAAAGGCAGCGATGAAGGAAGAACTGTGTCATCGGGAGAGAGAAGAAGAAAGTCCTTGCTCTCAAGTGCCAGGGCCTGCCAGGTGCCAAATCAAACCTTGGTGACACGGGGGTTTATTAGTTCCTGGCTGATTTTGCATTTGCGTTAGCCGAGAACACCCAGCCTGCCGTTCCCTACCTCCGAGGCAAGGGTTGCAACTGGAGAGGCATTTTCCATTCTCCCAAATACTTTATGTCAGGAATAAAATGAAAACAGCTCCCCAAATCACGGCCCCCTTGATCATCCATCAGCACATTCTGCTGAATAAGCACAACAGGCCGCTGCCATCTCCGAAAGGACAGAGCCAACTTGAGATTCAGATTCCTTTAAGAAAAATAGGTCTTTGCCACGTGTGCTCTGCACAGTCTCGGCAACTCACAGGGAGGAAATTGTTCTTCTCTTAGAAGCCGACTCTGGGTGTACACATGCCTCCCTGAGCATACATATGCATATGTGCACAGAGACAGACTGTGGCTATACACACGTGCCTAGGAACAGAGAGAACACACTGTGAAGAGGTGAGGACCAGCCTTTTTCAGGCAATTTATTAATTCAGCAAGGAGCTCTTTCTCTCACTGTGGATCTCTGAAAACAACAGGGAATCTCCTGTCACTCAAGAGGCATGCGGTGTGATGCAAAACCACTAACACTGAATCTGCTTGTGCTCTCCAAGGGGCATGGTGGAAATAGAACACCTAACCAGAAGCCCAAGACCCCAGGTCTGGTCCCAGAGGTGCCTCTTCAGGACTGTAGGGCCTGCTCCCATCGCTGCTTCCTGTCCCAGGTCCCACATCCATGAAATGAGAAAGTCAGCTGAGTGATTTCTAAAGTCCTCTCTGGTTTGGAAGTTATGACACTACAAAAAGGGAACCAGAGGTCTCCACACGTAGATTTTTGTCTCTCTCCTCAAACAATTAACTGGCACTTTTGAAGTTTAGTCAGGATTTTAGGGTCAATCACACAAACATGAGCCAATTCTATAATTGATTAGAAACTAATTGGGAACACTGAAGCTGCTAATGCCTCTGAGAAATAGCTAAAGCCAGATTTGAAGAAACCATTCCCAGTCACTCTCAAAGGCAGGAGAGGATTCCAATTCCCTCCACCCCTATTTTACAGAACAAAAAAAGAAGTCCTACTTTTGTCTGTTTTCTTCATTTAGGTCTTCCTGTGAAGTTTTGTTTGAACAAAGAGATCCACAGGGGGAAATGTTTAGCTCACTGCTCGGGGTAAGAAAACAGCGAGACAGGTCAACTTCAGGGCTAGCAATTCCTAGCCAGGTGACCTGGGGAAGCCCGGCGAACTTCTCTGGGCCTGAGTTCCCTCATCTGAAAGAGGGAGCAAATGGCCCCTCTCTCCTACCTTAACAGGGTTACGTGAAGTTCCACAAACCTATAGACAAAGATCCCTGGAACAGGGTAGGCACACACTGAACACCCCATTCAAGCACAGTGGATGCTCCATTTATTACTCCTCGGATTTCCAATGATAATGTAGAGCTTCCCACGCCAAAGGCAAATGACAGCAGGAGAAATCCTGGTCTCCTCTGTATGGTGTGCACATGAAAGTGGGAAATGTAGGGCAGGCAGGTTAGGACCCAAAATATTACAAAGAGTTCATGTGCTGTACTTCGCTGGAGTCAGCTATCTGTGGAATATTTTCATGGAAGGAAGAAAGGAAGGAAGGAAAGAAAGAAGGGAGGGAGGGAGAGAGGGAAGGAAGGAGGCCAAGAAATAAATTCTTTCATTTGGACAAAATTACAAAAGCTGGAATAACTAAAGGCAGTCATGGGCAATATGTCAAATCTGTGCCTCAATAAGGAGAACTGTTAACACTTTAATAGCTATGAAATGAATCACTCGATTAATTTCCCACATGCTGAAACAGGTAACAATACATTTATCTGCCAGTATTATACCCTCCGTATCATATATTTCCACAACTGTTAGCAATTTTATTCAGCATAACGGGAAATCAGTTGCACCTCATGGATTCAGGGAAGGAAAGTGGCCTGAGGTCTGCTGCCAACTGAGCAACGTGATGGAAGAGGTTTCGTTATTCTGCACTGGTTGGGTTTTGTTTGTTTTTTCTTTCTCCCCCTTAATCACTTGCAAGACATGTACGGAGGGCCATAAGTCAATAAGTGAGGACAAACTAGACCTCTAGGGTTTCTGTGCTGGTGTTTTCAACACACAAACTACAATCTCATGGGAGGTGACTATATAGCTCCATAGAGCTCCAGGGTGTTGATGGTTCTCCAAATGGGTCATCAGAGGTCATTGTGTCCATTCCCCAGACTCTGTTTTCATGAAAGGACCCAAACTCTTCCAAAAGAGATCATTGTACATGCCTTCAAGAAAATATCCATGTGTCTGAACCCAAAACCCCAAGCCTAATCTCCCCTGCCTCATAGAAACAGCCATTAGGATGTCATGTACATGGCCTCCCTACAGACTCAGCTGGTAAAGGAAAGGTCAGCAAACTCCATCTGATGACCTCTGGAGAGCTACACATGGTGAGCCCATGCCAGCCCCAGGACATGTCGTCAGAAAGCATCACCTTCTGTGCTAACAGTTTCTCAGGAGCTGCAGAGTTCGCCCCTGTCATGGAAGGAGATCACTCATTGCTAGCTCCCCTTTGGCTGCAAGAAAGAAGAACTTGCTCTGGAGGATCGTAGGGATCCTTCCCACCCCAGAAATAGGCAAATTCCAATGCTTCCTTCTTTCTTAGCTCCAGACCTATAGAGGCCCCACTATGGAAACTTTGGAAGGTGGCCTAAAATGCACCCTCAGATTTCCATCTGAGCTGCATATGGTACTGCTTTATTAGTTGAGATCATTTTATAAATAAGGCCCCCTTACACTGGATCCCAGGGAGACCCAATGTATATCCAACGCCATTTCACATTTGGCCCAAAGTACATGGATGGATGAATCCCTGGTGTGAGATCCAGCCTGCATTCTAAACTCACAGGAGGATGTTATTCCATGCTCTGGAGGGTGACCAGTGCCCTGATATATAAATCCCTCATGAAGAACAGTGAGTAGGTAGCTCACCTTGGGCTTCACCACCTTCATGAAGGCCCCTCTGACCAATGCCTCTTTTCTTTCTTGTCTGGTTACTTTCCGGGCATCCAGAAACTTCAAGTTAGGCAGCTTGTGCAGAACAAAGCATCTGGAAGAGAAGAGTCAGAAAGGACTCAGGAAGGGAGGGGGCTAAGACTCCAGAACCAGGCAATTAGAACCAGAACCAGCCTTAGGAATCTACCAGTATGTCTTCAGTGATTTAGATCTCAGCTGCTAAATCACCTCTCATCTTTCACAAAGTATGAACAATCATTCAAATAGTTCTATCTTAGAAACAAGACAATTTAAGAGACACACGGTAATGACTGTATTTCACTTGAAGGTAGACACACGCCCCTTACCTGAATCAGCCATTAGGACCTTATCAATATACTCCCCTTCTTTCATTCTGGAAAGTGAACCCAGCTGCTTGCTGCACAGGGAGCTCCCAGTAAAATCAAGCTACACCTTGATTGTACCATTTATGTCACCACCTTTGCTGAGAGTCCTCTGCATCAGTCTCATCTCTGAGACGATAACATGTCTTAAATGTGGAGCTCAGACACAAGACCTTTATTTTCCATCCAGACAATCAACAAGAATGTAATAACCAGGACAGCCATGGGAAAAGTAAGGAACAGGTGCAGATGAGAAATGCTTCCTCAAGGACACAGACAGGGATCCTGAGGACATTTGCTCTCATCATCACTGGGTTATAGCCACACTGGCACTACGAAGATTATCAAGGAGAAGCAAGGAGAGTTGCTTTCAAGAGGATATTAATAGCCCAACAACTGCTTGGTGGCCTCTCTTCCCTTTGCAAAGATGCTTTGGTATTCATTATGGACTGCAGGAATAAGCCAGTGGCAATGTGGGTGATGAACTCTCCTTAAGTGATATAGGTAGGGAGTTTACAAGAAGATAGAATCTAGACACCTGTCTATACTTTTCCCACATCAATGAGTTACCAAACCAGATGCTTTCCATCAAGTTCCCACGCTCCATCAATCAAACAAGCAAGTGTTTAGACTCTATCCTGCTTAAGTAGAAGAGGTGAGTAGCCAAGTCAAGAGCAATGGATTAGCTCCAAAGGAATCTGTCACTTCCTTTCTGCACCAACCACCTCAGTACTCACCCATCATCAAGCTACAACCTCCACAAAAGTTACTTCTTCACCTCTAGCCCACATCCCTTTCTTCTCCCTCAGCTTTCCTAGAATACACTGTCAATACCATACTTCTTATTTTCTTGGTGTTCATTGATGTCCTTACCCAAACTATAAGCTTCTTGAAGGCAGGGACAAATTTCTTTGTTTACCCTCACCATCTCTTAAAAACTCACATTTGAACAGATTCATTAACATAACCCTTCATCCTAGTTTCCATATATTTCTTGAGCATCTACTATGTGCCAGGTGCTAGCTATAAGGAGGAGATAATGATATGGTTCCCGCTATCAAAGAGGTTTTTAGTGTAATGGGGAAGATAAATTCATACAGAGAAATGAGAAATCAATGTAGCTAAGTGCCAGAGAGTATAACCAGAGCAGTTATGGGAGACAAAGAGGCCTGCAATATTCTCTGAATAACTGAAATCTAAGGGGGAAAGAAGGGACAGAAAATCTCAAACAGACTTCAAAGAACCAAATCCACAAGCACTTAGCCTTTTGGAAGCAGAGTTGCCTGGGGTATGCAATGAGCCTGGGGTTCCCAGAGTCACTGCCCACCTTCTCAAGGTGATCCTGTCTCCAAGTGCCCTTCATATATTTGTCCAGATTAAAGACCTGAGGGATCACTCAAAAGCCAGAAATAACAGTTTAAAAGCCTCCAGTGACAGCCTTCATGTTCCTCATTGTCCAAGTCAGAACAGCACAAAACTTCTTTGGGGAGGCTTTTCCTCTGGTGCACTGTCCACCCCAAAGCCTGAGGGCCTGGACTCCCTCCTTCCTGTTTTCTCTCTGGCCTCCATCTATCACCCCCTTTCCTGTCTCTCCCTAAGCCTCTCTCTCTCCAAATGCCCCCCTAACCGCCTCCAAAATCAGGAAAGTATGCCCAAGGGCCCCAATGTCCTCTCTCTTCCTCAGTAGAATCCCCACTGGCCTCACACTGTCAGAGAAAACTTCCATCTTCTGCTTGTAGAGGCAAAGTCTCGATGACAACAGAGTCTTTCAAATAAAGACATGTACAGACAGCAACAATATGTCAGGAGTGACGCTCCAAGGAGTAAAGACACCCACTAAATGTAGGGTGGGAAAAGATGAATATTCAGGTGAAGAAAACATCAGTATTAGAAAATCAGCCAATGTTTAATGATGGAGTGAAAGATGCCTTCACGGGGCTGGCAGGAACCTCGATGACAACAGACCGCACATTGTCATTTCGCCTCACTTTGGATCACAGCCCTGAAATCAAAGGAGAAAGACAGAGAGAGGTGCTGGCTTTTAAGCTAGTTAGAAATTTTAGATGACAAAGAGCTGCTGTTTTCTGAGTGCTCTTCTCAAACAAGGGAAGAGACAGCCCATGTCGCAGGCTGCCAGTCACCCCCGGAGCTCAGGGTGAGTGGACTCCCACCTCGTGGGGCCAGACTGGGCTTCCAGGGGGTCGCTGCTCAGAGAGGTCTGGGGACACTGGGGAGACTCACTGCCAAGAGTAGGGTGTGAGGCTCAGCCCAGGGTGCAAAGTGCCTCTGCTAGAGGTGCCTTCTTCCATTCACTCACACAGTCAACAAATAATTATAGAGCAGCTACCACCTGCCAGGAGCTGCTGAGGAAAAAAAAAAGTGATGAACACAACAGAAGGTTTCTGCTCTCAATGAGCTTATGTTCTAGCACAGCAGTTCTCGACTTTGAGCAGGCATCAGCAGCCCCTGGAGGCTTGTTAAAACACACGTTGCTGCACCCCATCCCCAGAGTTTCTGATTCAGGAGGTTTGGAGTGGGGCCTGGAATTTATGTTTCTAATAAGTTCCCAGGTGATGCTGCTACTGCTGTCCTGCTGAGCACCAATGTCCTCGTGAAAATAACAGCATGGGAATTATGAGCATGGTGAGACGGCCCGCGGTCTCCTTCCCAGGTCCCGCTAGCAATCCACCCTGGCCCAGTGTCTGTGGTTCGCACAGCTCAGACAGTGGCCTGGTCTACCACCTCCTCCTGCCCCATGATGGCTCAGCTCTGGCTCCACACATTATTGCCAAGTGATAAGTCAGTGGGCTTCCTGCCTGCCTGTCCCATCCTGATCTTGGGAGATCTATTTCCCTTTGTTCTGGGTCATGACAGGGTGTCAAAAGGCGCAGCTTCAATCCTGAGTGTAATACAAGTTTGCCATAAAAATACAAGAGAGGATTCCCGAAGCCACAGAATGAAGGCTTTTACAATATCAATTCAACCCTTGTAAATTTAATCCAGGGTTATTTGTTGCACCAAAATCTCTTTACTGTGATGTATTACTTAGTTACTGGGGTTATCACAGCCGTATCCTAAAGTTGCATAGTACATAAAACATTTCAGTTAACAATGCGGGAAGGTTAACTCCCCCAGATAACCTGCAATCACAAGGGCTAGTCCAGATGACGTCCCTCTGTCAGCTTCCAAGAGCTATTGATGGTTCAATCAGTTTGTTTTGAAGGTAAAGTACAACAAAAGGGCAGTAAACTTATTCAGACTGTCAACAGGGGCTATCGGGAATGGGGCTTGCAGGTAAGTAATTCTGGGTGTTTTAAGGCTATTATCAAACAGCAATGGTTGAAGGAAGAGACAGCTACTAATAACACAGAAGGCAGCCATCATAAACCACTTTATGGCAGAAACCTCCGTCTATAAATCCTGCGACACCCGGAGACAGCTTCAGATTTATAAAACTGCTTGTTAAGCCGGGGCACTGCTTAATGAAAAGAGATCCGTCTAAGTTCCAAGTCTCACGTCCAGAGCTCCAGAGGGCGACTCCAATTTTCCTGACCTTCTCAAGGTGGCTGGGGGGAAGCCCCTAGGGCTGGGGTGGTGGGAGTTGGAGCCACTCCTGGCTGTGATATGGAAGGTGAGGTTATCAAAAGGAGAGCAGGGGGCCCTGGGAAGGTGTTTAAACACCCATATGTCTCTGTCTGAAAAGAGATTTCTCAAAAGTGAGAGACCAGCACCCAGAGCTTTCCAGGTACTCTCTCTTTTCATGAAGAATATTCCATTTTTTTAAAGGACTCCTCTAAGGAGAGAGGAAGATTGGAATTGGGAGAAAAGATACATCTGGAAAGCTTTTTGTTTCTCTTTGTTTTGCACCAAAAATCAACTTTTTTTTTTCTGCTCCAGTCCCAGTGCTCTGGCATTTTTCACGTAGACCTCAAAGAGAGAGAGAGATGATCTTTCCTCCTACCACAACTTACTACCCCAGGAAGAGAGTATAGTCACAGAAAAACCGTGATGGGTCTCCAGTGTCTGCAGTATTTAGTGGGGATGGCCACCATGTTTCTTTCTCTGACATTCTATTCAAGAAATACCAAATTTCCAGGTGTTTTTTTTTATTTGTTTGTTTTCCCTCTGGTATTGAGAATTGAATTCACTGGACTACATTCCCAGGCCTTTTAAAAATTGTTTTTAAATTTTAAGACAGGGTCTCTCCATGTTGCTGAGGGTCTTGCTAAGTTGCTGAGGCTGGCCTCCAACTCATAATCTTTCTGGCCCAGCCTCCCCAGTCTCTGGGATTACAGGTATGTGTCACCACACCCAGCTCTAAGCTTCTAGCTCTTACAGGGGCCAGGCTTGGGGTTCCTGGGCACATGTTCTATTTTTTCCCACTTACGGCATCCTACACTTCCCCTTGCACAGTGAATTGGGAGACAGAGCAGAAGCTACAAATGCACAACCTGGGCTCCAAAAGGCAGCCACAGGGGACCCAACAACTGTTTCTAACCCTTCACAAAGCACAACAGAACTGGGCAAGGATGCTAGCAAAATGTGGCACTTCTTTGCTGCTGTCTTAACGACATCCACTCCATTTAGTAACACAGGCTATCTCCTTCTGATCAAAAGCACTGATCAGCCGCTAAATATGTCTCATTAATAAAAGAAAAAGTGTTAGCAATGGCTTATATGCTGCTTATTTGAAAGACCAAGGCTTTTGAAA